AGTATTGCGATTAAAAATTCACTAATGTACTAAGCTTTCAATTTACTTGTATGGCTCCACCGTCCACAGCGTCCACCGCTCAATGCTTCACGTTTACAAATACGTTTACGTTCAAAGTTAACGTAATTTCTCAATACGTTACTTAATTTAATTACTCTTCATCAATTATAGAAACAATACCACTTAAATTGATAATCATCTTTTACAAGCCTCCGCGGAGTCGCGTGTCTAAAAAAATTCATTCGCATCGTGGTCATTGTGTTATTTCATGCAATAAATAATTGCACGAAATAACTAGTTACACCTCATGGCTATATTTACATTTGTTGCTATAACGAAGTATATGAATGTGAGTCTGGATAATGACAATTGAGCAAGAATAAATGAATTATACTACTAGTAATAATCATTAAAGAAAATTACATCATTCTTCAGGCCTACCGGTTAACTGAGTCGGTTCCTGAGGTTGCTGCGCGGTACAAGATAATACCATCAAGATTTTTCTGAAGATATTCAATAACAAGTTGATGAAAAATTGCCCAATGACTAGTTTCTTCATTTCAATTATCAATAAAATAGTTTTTTTTACGATAACAACAATTGACGAATTTGGTGTCATTTTTAACCGACTTCAAAAAAGGAGGAGGTTCTCAATTCGACTGTATGTTCTTTTTTTTTGTATGTATGTTACGCGATAACTCCGGTATTTGTGAACTGATTTTCATGATTCTTTTTTTATTGGAAAGGGGGTACTTCCATAGTGGTCCCATTTCATTTTGAAAAAAATCATCCACCTCGAAGGGTCACGCATGAAGATTCATTTTCATAAATAGCGCCTAACTTTAATTTAGGAGCAATTGCTTTGAGTAGAGAGAACCGATTATTATTATCAGCAGTGTCCAAGTTCCTGTATAGTGGCGAACAAGGGAATATTTCAATAAAACTTAGCAAATAGACGTAATTCCACGTACTTTTGAGGTCGGTTTTTTTAGTACTCTGTACTGAGATTATTTCCAATCTACTTATTATTGAATATCGCAAGAAAAATCTTGTTGAAAGATAACCTATAACGTGTCGGGCGCAGTGGCAGTGCCCTTCAGATCTTTGTGATCTGAAGCTCATTGTGGCACTGAAACTGTTAGCTGCACATACTGACTGTATCGTCTCAGTCAACCGTGACCATGGAACCTGTAAAGGGCCCGAAACGTTGGTTTGTTTGAAAAAACAAATATACGCGATTTAAATCCAGAAAAATAGTTTCATTTCCTATATGTAACAATCGCGAAGACCTAAGAACTCGATTATGACGTTGTCACTATGTACAGAAGTAGCAAAACTATGTAAAAAACTAGGTAAAGAACAACAAAAGTAGGTCATAAATCATAAAATATAAAAAGGTACCAAAAACAAGTACAGTTAAAATTAGAATGCAAACGAAATATTAAATAAAGTCGAAAATATTTATTATAACACTAAAAGAACATACTGCGGCAATAAGCTACAAAAGGATAAGAATAATAAAGCGATGAAAGTAAAATTTTGCATATTTTTTATGCACAAATTCAGCTCTTCATTACGGAATAATAGAAAGTCTTGTTAAGACATTCATATAATAGGCCCCAGTTAGACTGTTATCTATTAAATGCTGCTACGTCGTATTTCATATTCATGAGCTAGTACGAAGTGACAATTTAATGCAATTAAAAATTACCACCCGCCCTAATCCTGCGCACGGAGTTTTATAGAGTGGGGATTTGTATCGTGCTAATATTAAATTATGTTTTGACTAAAAAGTATACAGTGTTTCTGTTATTGAGAAACTAAATTTTAGTTTCTATGAGTACAACAGTATGTATATTGTTACGCGTGGCGGTCATGTTCAAAAATTATCAGTACATGTTAAAAAATTATCAGTACACGTTCAAAAATTATCGGTATACATTTTTCAAAAACAGTTTTCTGAAAAGCGGTCGCATAAGCAAAGCTCCGTAATAAAAGTAACCCCTTTCTAGCAAATTATATAAATAACAAATGTTCACAAAGCATTAAAAGAAAAATACTATATATACATAGAAGAATAATACCGGTAACTTTTCTAGTTAAATTTCATTTAGGACCACAACCCGAGGAACTTTGCCTTGGAGGTGGTCAATAATTTTCTCTTTTAAGCATATTTAGCATATTATTTACCTTATTTAATGCTACGTACATGTTTGTTATTTAGTTTATTGATAATTTTTAAACATGGCCGCCTCTCGCAACGTAAGTCGATAAAGCTGTGAAAATCTCATTGACTAATAAGTTTCCAAGTTTAAATCAAGGCAGTTTACTGATGACGTCAATTTTATTTCTATCTGAATGTACGATGATATCACTTGTTCAAGGGCGTCGTCTTAAACACGAATGTACGTAACTTACAATATTAACTGAAAATAATTTGCATACTTCGATTAAACATATCATGTTTTATGTTGGGATGTAAATAATTAATTTTCAAAACTGTGAGTTACGTCCACTAGTGTTGCAAAAGTCAAAAAGTTTTTTTCATCTTTATAGTTTTTTTAACCTGTCGTGCGACCTAGAGACACACGGTATCGCTAACGATTTGGTAAAAATAAATTAAAAATAGTGGATGAAAACATATCACTTAATTAGGAAATGAAACTATTTTTCCGGATTTAAATCGCGTATATTTGTTTTTTCAAACAAACCGACGTTTCGGGCCCTTTACAGGTCCCATGGTCACGGTTGACTGTATCCGGAAAAATAGTTTCATTTCCTATATGTAACAATCGCGAAAACCTAAGAACTCGATATATCACTTAAGTGTCTATATAACCTCAAATGGCTTTGGTTGATCTGCATAACAGAGAAAATATTGAATCAATCACTTGGGAAAACAATATTTAGTAAAATTAAGGATATACACGGATATAATACTATACTATAAAAATTTTCACGATAGAAAAAAACACAAACTTACCTCGAGATTTTCCAAGGCAATATCTATTCAATAGGTATTTTACATATACCATTTTTTTTATATCAACAGAACTAAATAGTACACGTATACTATACGATATACATTTTTTAAAAGGCTTTACGTTTGTAAAAAAATAAATTCTGAAATAAAGTCAGTGCCACTCGACCCAAGCAAAATGAACCGTATTAATATGGGGAAAAAATTGAATTCGAGCTGAAGCAGTATCCACGCTTAAATCATTAGGGACACCGGGTGTCTCTAGAATACGTGACAGTTTAAACAGAAATTTCAAAATACTTGTTTTTGCTTATCCTTTCGCTGGTTGTGCGAATGCAATAACAAAGCCATCTAAGTTTATTAATTGACTAAAACCATCCTTCCGTCTCTAGCATTCATTTAATTATGCAACCCCGTCAGAGTCCGTTTATTTTGGAATATATTAACTGTGGAATTAACTGGTCGCATTCCGCTCCACATTTACGGTAAGGCTGCCGTGCTTTTTATACATTTTGGTTTTTATTATAATTATTTTATTTATTAATTATCTCTGAACGTCTTTTACAGGTAGTTTAGTTAAGACAGAGCAATATCAAAGTTACTAATCGTGTAAAGATTTATTCACTAAATTATAGAAAACTAAATAGAATGATAACGCACACACTCAACATAGCCCCGCACTAGGGAAACCCTGTGTCGCGGGTGCCATGGAGACACACATAGACAACCACAAATGCACCCAAATTCACGAGAGAAATAATTGTAGGCCATACAAATATTTCTCCCGGCCCGGGAATCGAATCTGAGACCTCTGCGTGGCAGTACGGCATGGTAACCGTTCGGCCACGGAGGCAGTTATAATGTAAATGATATATTGGTATAGTAATCCTTGGCGGTTCATACTTATTCAGAATTATGTTCGTCTAAAAATATAATTTTACTATTGATATGAAGTTATTATGGTAATCTATTTAAGATTATGAATGGCTTTTTAACCCGTCACGCATCCTATAGAGACACACGGTGTCCCTAATGATTTTAGCACTGTAGCTTCCTAGAGCCACACAGTGTCTCAACCATTTAAAAAGTCGTTTAGGTCACCGTGTGTCTCTAGGATGCGTGACATGTAGGGTTAAGAACTGGTAAATCCCAATGACGGATTATAAAAGCTACTGGAGATCCCACTGTATGAAATATGAAATCCATTCATCATCGATGGATAGATTCCAGATTATTCGATAGTTCGATATTTAACGATAAGCCAACGTTACCAAACCAACCGTTCCACAATCCAAAAAAAAAACAATGTCAACGATTCGACGTCGACCGGTTGGCGTGGTAGCACCTTAATGCTAACCATGTTATCGTATTCATAAATGTGTAAACAACAGTATTTCCAATTGATGTTTCCCACTAAATGAGCGTATTAAATAAACGTTAGTATTCCACTGTGTATTAATTAATTAATAATAAAATATAATCATTTTGTTCAATATGATAATTAAAATGTAATTTCATTAATTCTATTTACATTTTTAAAATATTGTATTTGGTAGATATTGCGGAACATATATAGAATGTGTGGTATAATTCACAAACGTTAAAATACCCAATACCCTCAATAAAATAAAGGTTAAATATTTACCACCTTACTTTTTTAATGGTATAATGGTAAAATACCACCAAAAGAAAACAATCACCCGTATAAAAAAAAATTAGCAATGGAAATGGGCGTTTCGACCCTCTATTACCAGGGACCCAATGCTATATTTTATAGATAGACCATTGAGGTTATAGTTTCTTAAACGGTTCAAAAAGTGATAGTTTGTGAAGCTAAAGTATGGCTGGGTGTATACAGCTTAATGTTATAGCAAATACATATAATATAATTAAGGGCTATAAAAGGTTAATACATGGTGACCTAAATAATTGGCTATTATAAATTACGACTGTTAGTCAAAGGCAGACGGTGTTATACATGTCGTAAACAATCACCTAATTATTTTTTTTTTGTTGACAGATGAACCGAGCTATTCAGGTGAAACCGGCGGACAGCGAGAATAGAGGAGGTAAATAAATCTTACGTTAACCATAGTAAATAGGGTCATATGAAACTTAAATATAATATCACATAAAAAATAATTGAACATCAATTAAATAAACATTTTAAAAACAGTGAATAGCGACATCTATAGCCGGGGCTGGTAGTTGTAAAGGTTAGATACATTTACAGCTACCAGGCCCGGCTCGACTGGGTGACGAAATACTTTCATACATTTCTCATAGATGGCGCTATGACCAAAAAGTCGTTGAAAAACCAAATACAAAGACACGACCACAAGCACATATTAAAATTCGTGAGGTTCGCTGGTTCGTTCCATGGCTTAGTTGGTATAGCGTCTGGCACGGTATGCTAGAAAACGTCGGTTCGGATCCGGCCGGATGGAAGTAAATAATAGTTGTATATCAATTCAATAAAAATTTAAATAATAAAAACGATTTTTTTTATATATAGAGGTATGATAGAAACACGCTTGGCCACAAACCTGCGACACAAGTTAATTAATTTTAAATCATATCAGTTGTGTGTTGTAAGAGAGTCGATGGCAGGATTTTGTACGTAAGGTGTTTTCCTAAAAGTCTAGAATAGTAGTTTGTCAGTGGCTAGCCAACGTGCTACTCAACTGACATTGCAATTATTTGGTATTCTATTCTTCAATGGAGAGTCGATGACGTAGTCTACTAATTCTTTGACATAGAAAAATAGGTTTAGAGTTTTCTAAACACACTAGCGTCTTTCGAGCGTCAGCGTCTTGCCAACGCACGTAAAACGCCGCCGCGCGAACGTGGGTCGGCAAGACGCTGTCAAAAGACGATGTTTGTGAATTGTTGTAAATGGGATAAACATTAAGATATGCATAGTAATTTCCATGGTAGTTTTGGTGAGGCAACATATGTCCAGTTCATATGAATTCCGAATTAGAAAAATGACGGTCCGATCATTTTATCTCTAGGTAGATAAGCATATTCATACTTTTAACCGACTTCAAAAAGAAGGAGGTTCTCCATTCGACTGTATGTTTTTTTTTGTATGTATGTAACGCGATAACTCAGGTATTTGTGAACCGATTTTCATGATTCTTTTTTTGTTGGAAAGGGGGTGCTTCCATAATAGTCCCATTTCATTTTGAAGAAAATCATCCACCTCTAAGGGTGGCTGTTCACGCATGAAGTTTCATTATTATAAATAGTGCCTAAACTTTAATTTAGATGCAATTATTTTAATGGTTGACTTTGCTATTTCTCCAATTCAATGGTTTTCTCTCAATATACTTTGAGTAGTGACGACCGATTTTTATTATCTCCAGTGTCAAGTCCCGTATAGTGGCGAACTATACAATGCATATTTCAGCAATGCAATACATAATTATGAAATGCTTACTTCAGCAATACAATTAACTTTACATTAACAGTGCATGATACCTCTTATTACGCTTATCAAGCCTGTATCAGGAGGCACCGCTCTTCCATAGCTATAAATGCACGTTTTACATTTTTAACTTATACTTAATTTAGTGTTTAATTTTTATTTTTATTGTTACATTTCAAAACAAACAATTTGTAACAATTATCAACATTCTTAACGCCTAATTTTAAATTTAATTTAAATCTTAAAACGTATGTGCATGTGTGTGTGTTAAACCTGTTGCCATAGACGAGAGAGTAGTGTTTTTAAGCAAGTGTTCTAGTAGATCTTCGGTTTCCTCATACGATTTGGATTGTAGCCATTTTGATATAAGTTTCTTGCAGTATCCATAACTTTTGGCGTATATTTCTAATTCCTTATTTAGAATTTTTCTTCTTGTTCGATCTTTGTATTAATAATTATAACAAACTAGTGGAGTAATGTCACAAAAAAATATTCGAATGCCATGGTTGTAAAACATAGTAATATTCAATACAACGTTTACCTTTGCACTTGTATTCAAGGCGGCTTGGATTTCTTGGCATATGAAAAGCCAAGTATTGCGTGACCATCGGTAGTACAATCCTCATAATGTGCGAGTTGTCCGTACTCCAGTGGACCTTGTTAAATAATTCCATCTTAACAACTCCAACAAGTCCGTCTACCTACAAGAGAGCGACTAGAAAACAGCTTACATCGCCAGACTGTAAAGGACGTTTGAAAGTCATAGGATTCTACACTTACGGCCTTAGATAAGAGGCATTGCCTATAATATTACCATTATACAAGTGAACCAAAATCGGCAGATTTTAGAGCTCTTCAAAGTCAATGTGGGATGATCTCAGGGACGTAGGTTGGTTCCGTGTCGCACTGGGTCAGGTTATGTTAGTTTTGGTGACAAACTGTCGAAGGTCAAGTGGGGTTCAAGTTGTTGTAGTTGTTTGGTGGGTTTAGTCAGAGGTGGCTGATATATCATGAGCTGAACTGTGTGTATGTGCTATTTTATATAAAGTCCATGGATCAGAGATAATCACGTTTCACAGAAGTTGACAATGTTGACTTACTTCTTACTACGTAATATATTATTATTGATATCTTTTTACAATCAATTATTATTATTTGCTTTATTTTACTTAGCCTGTATCTATGTGAAGGGTGTTATTATTATTATTTTATATAGCCCCGCACCTAGTGCGAAACTCTGTGTCGCGGGTGCCATAGACACACACATAGATAACCATAAATTTTATCCAAACTCATGAGGGAAATCAATGTAGGCCTTATAAATTTTTCCTCCGGCCGGGGATCAAACCCGGGGCATCTGCATGGCAGTCCAGCATGGTAACCGTTCGGCCACGAAGGCAGTTAAATTGTTATTGATTGCAATTAAATTTATATATTAAATTCGCTTTCAATTACGATCAGACAAAAAATTTAAGAATATCATTGCAACATAATGGTATTCAATAAAATGCATATATACCACGTGACCGGACGAACAAGTTGTGGGCGTGGTAGTAAGCGACACGCCTGTCTGTAGCAGTTGCTATTCCAATCAGAGCTTTAATCGCAAAGATTTTAATGGCACTGTCACTGCGCCCGTCACTCTGAGACGTAAGTTAACAAGTCCCATGTGCCTGTAATTTCACCAGCACCCTTAGCACCTAGTTATGCGAGGAGAAAGCTTTCGCGCGGCCGCCCGTTACCACACCTTCATGTAAGAAATAAATAGAAATAGAAACCATTTATAGTAACGCCACATTATATAAAAAAAACACATAAACAAAGACTAATATAACTAGAACAGAAATAACACAAAGAACAGCGTAAAAACATTTCAACAACAAGTTACATAATACTATACTGACATGTGTGCGGCTGTGGCGTGTACAAAAGGATCCCATTCAACTAAAGTCACAACCAAGGCTAGGTTGTGACGCTGGTTTTCAATGGGCCCTAGCCGAGTGAGTGAGAGTGACGGACGTATGCGTCCCGAAACAGAAAGTAAAATAAGCTACGTTAATACTTATGTCATAAGTGTGTACTCTTTTATCGAATAAATACTTTCATAATCTTTGCAATATATACATACAGGTATAAGTGTGTGTAGTGTGAAAACAAATTAATAAAATATTTAATACATATTTAAAGTACATTACTTCAAATATATTAAAAAGATTACCTATTTCCGTAAAATAAAAGTTCTTTGACTTCAACATTAAACAATTATTGTTCTTACGCAGTTACTGTTTCGAATAATGCTATGTGAATTAACATGTTTAAATGTTTATGATTATTAAATTAAATAAAAGTATATAATTAAAATAACGTATCACTGTTGTAAATACAATTTCAGACATGTACGTAATGGCGAATCTGAATTCTATTTACTAGGCAACAACATTTAAATTTCTCTGAATAATATAACCACGCGGTCGCCGCGTGGGCCGTCGCTTATACTAAATTCAAGCCAGTCTCGCCCGCGTGTCCGGGACGCTCATTTAAGTTAAAACGTAAGTGCTAAACAAATAAAACGTATTTTGCCATGACAGTTAGAGAGTATGCGGTCGCTGCGTGGCGACAACGCGGACTCCGTTCGGCCATCGCTCGACGACCGCGCGGGGTGGGCACAATGAAATTCGTGTAAATAAATGTGCCCTAAGCCTTCAAAACCGAAACGCAATGCTTATATCAATACTTGGCAGCAGAAATAAGTAAGGTGACTGTACTTCCCTAGACAACTCTTTCATAGGAGCTCTACTTTAAGAAAAATAATAACGCACACACACACTCAACATAACCCCGCACTAGGGAAACCCTGTGTCGCGGGTGCCATGGACACTCACATAGACAACCGCAAATTACACCCAAACTCACGAGAGAAATAATTGTAGGCCATACAACTATTTCTCCCGGCCCGGGAATCGAACCTGGAAACTCTGCGTGGCATGCAAATGTACAAATGGTTCCAAATTACAACGTAATGGAGTCCTCAAAGTTTCACTATTGTTTAGTATAAAAAAATTCAAGTGTCGCGTGCGACAAAACCTGTTTACATGGTAATTGTAATGAGTAGAGAAGTCAATTAGTTATATTTACACACGCGCACGCGTGTTACGAAATCAAATTATGTTGATATTAATCAAAGTAGGGTTTATAGAGCTATTGTTTTCAAAGCCGTAAATTTTGTAACGGCCAATTATTTATGAATGGATTCATTCATTTACAGGTAACATCGAGTATATATAAAAATAGAGACGAAATGTCATTTAATTTGTTTGAAAACCATTCTGCCAAATCATTACTATGATAACTGCGCCTCGTTTGGCCAGCCCGAATTCGAAACTATTGACGGGTGTCGTCAATTGTTTCACTTCAAATCGGTCAGTTTAACTAGAGCTTTGCTGTAATGGACAAAAATTACATATTTAGTATTTAATTACCGATGAAATGTGATTCCGTTTGTAATGATGTTTTTCCCACACCTCCAAATGGAACAGCCCCCCCATTGTTAGAGATATTATCTTTATTACAACAAATGCAGAATATTTTTGGAATATACGGAGACGTACACACAGACCCGTTGTTGGCGCTACAAACGAG